TCCTCGTCGGCGTCGGTGTGTGAGCTGTCGTGGTGGTGTGTGGTGGTGGTGGAACATGGTGGTGGGGTTGTCGTCCCTCGTTGCGGGGTCGTGGGCGTTCGTCGTCGACGTGGCACACCCAGATGGGGTGTGCCACGTCAGCCGTTTGGTGGTGGCGCCGTTTGTTGGGCACCACCATCGTTGTCGTTGTCGTTGTCGTAGTCGTCGTTGTCGTCGTCCGTTGATGTCGTCGTTGTCGTCGTTGTCGTTGTCTGTTGCATGGTGGTCGTGGTGGTCGTGGTGGGCGAGGTTGTGGGTGGAGAGGAAAGAGAGAGGTGACGTGACGTGTCACATATGAGAACTATCATCAACAAATATGTGCACGTGATGCATCACATCACATGATGTATCCAAGCACATGCTCATGGGTCATGTGACTCATCAAATGCATCATTCCTGGGACTAGTCCTGTCCGAAAATCCTGAGGACTGTCTTCAGTCCTCAGGAATGGACCCCCACAGGACTCAAAAAATTGGCTGGCACATCAGCCAATATAGAGTCCTGGTAATCCTCAGGAATCCTCAGCCCAGAGACTTTATGAAATCCATAACAATGGCAGGGAGATCCAGTGTTCAAAATATCTCTTCCTCAAGTTGTGAATTGCTTTCAGTAGGTTGCAGTCATTCAGAATTTCCCACTTTGTTACATCCCATTTTTGGCACTTGTCACAGTCAACTCCCTGCCTTATCCTGAGTTTTCAATTGTTCATCCCCAGACTTGGTATATACAATCTACACCTCCTTAGCTATATTTCATAAACTAAAGCTTAGTTCTCAAAATGTTTGATTCTTGTGTTATAGCACCAACTTTGTCCAAAAAATGATTGGACAATCTTTTTGCCCAGTTAGTGTACATTGGCAACTGTATTGGCAATCTTGTTCTCATTGACAGATAACACTGATTTGCTGAATCTGCATTTTTGCCAACAGCATCCAACAGAAACTGGAGAAAACAAGATTCATACATCTGGTTGGATTACTGCCCTTGTAAATGCTTTAAGTGACAAACTGGGCAAAAAAAGAACTTCATCATTATTTTTTGATTATGAATACTCAGAGTCTCTTTGGGAAAATGATGGGAACAAATATCGAATTAAATTGATTGCTGGAAAACTTGACTCATTTGCAAATGACTTGAGCTTGTCACCTTATGATCAAGATGGAAATTATTGTGGAAAACTAGGTGCAATATCACATGATAAAATTCAGCCAGCTCTTGTCATTTGTCCAACCTCATTTGTATGTGCAACTCAATCCTGCAGTCCCAGATCATTGCTTCAGGCATCCTGGTCTCATGATATACCTCTAGTAACTTGTGTCAAAGGCCACACAGTGCATAAAAATGTACCTGTTCTTACTGGACAGTGCCATTCATGTCAAACATCATATTCAGCAGATCATGAACAGTTTCAGGATTTATCAACTATTTCAAAACCTTGGAAACGGGAATACTTGAATTCTGCCAAATACATTAAAATTGGTCAAGCTCTATGGGTGGATCAGCTTTTCTGTGCATCAGCAGTCAATGCCATGTATAACTTCCATGCATCAGCATCAGCATATGCTGAGTACTGGAATAATACATTTGGAACTGGAGAAGTCCTAATTGCTAGGGCTCACATTTGGCAGACCTTTGTCCAAGAATCAATGTGTACTATTGCTGAAGAGTCACAGATAAATGTTGAACTTAATGATGCACTTGATATCAAGGAAGTCACTGCAGAGGCTTTCTCACTTTTGGGAGAAAATGGCATCATACGAGCAGCCGATAAACACTCTTGTGATGAATGTACTCAAATTTATCAGCAAGTTGGTGAAACATCTGCACAAGTACCCACTACATCAGATAGTGATAGCAGTGACAGTAATGTGATGGATGTAGATAAGAAATTTGTAAAAATGGCAGTCTTGGATGGCATTGTAATGGGTCCTACACATTGTGCACATGATAATTGCTTAAATGATCTTTCTAACTCAAGAGGTGGATCACTTTGTGATCAGCATCATTTACAACTTGGATCTTATTGTCTAGTTCGGGACTGCTCAAATCGAAGAGTTGAAGGAACTTGTGCATGTAATGATCATCAAAGTGAATGGAATACTTATAAAAAATATACAACTCAGAATGTTCATTCTGGTGTACCAACCAAAGGCCAAAGGCCCCAATCCACAACGCCATGATGATCCAAATACAGATCCTCCTTTACCATCTAATCTTTTTAGTCCCTCTCGTTTCTACTGTGTTGAAACTGTCTGTGCACCATGTGGAGTTGTCATTGCTTGGACAAAGTTTGATAGATCAGAGTCTCCTACAAACATCTTGAATTTCTTAGAATCAGTGTTTCCAACAGAGGAATCCCGACCTGATTATATATGCATTGATAAAGCCTGCCAGGTTCTGGCAACTGCTGTAGCAAACGGAAGTTGGGACACCTGGAAAAAGACAACTTGATTCATTGTAGACTCCTATCATTACACAAATCATTGGAAAAAACACTTTCTTTGCCACAAGTACTGCAACCCTGCTCCTACAAATGGCCAAGCTCCCAATCTGGTTATTGTAGAGCTGAGTGAAGATGGACAGCCAATTGCACGTAGAGCCTTTAACACTCAGGTACATTCTCACCTCTTATATAATTCTTCAGTTAACTAGATAATGACAGGTCTGTGAACAACTCAATGCATGGCTTGGTGGTTTTGAATCAATTGCAAAATGTTATGAGTCCTCTGAGTTTATGAAGAGACTCGTTTATTTCCCCTTGATTCAAGGTTTTTTTCAGCGCGGTAACACTGAAATTTGACTTTCTCCCACGAAAGTGATTTCTTCCCACGATCAGCTGCCTGCTCAACATTGACGACTTTGCCAGTCTGCTCTACTATTTCTTAGTTATCACCTGCTTTTAGTCCTATCCATGTTGTCATTGATGTAGGTGGTAGCTAATGTATTGCTCTACTTGGCTGTCAGACTCTAACATATGAATATATTGCCTCCATTTTCACATTTATGTAACTATACTTCTTTACATTAAAGATATAACAATTAAGGTCATGACAACTTTTGTGGCATATTTTTAGGGAGTGTGTGGGTATCCTAATGAGCCCAAGGCTATGCAAAATGAGCCATGAGAAGGTCCTGGGCAGTTGGTGGGTATGAGCACAAAAAGACAAAAATAGAACTTAACATACATCCAAGAGTGCTCAACTAGTTCATAGGCAGTTTTGGGGAGTCTCTTCAGGGGGTGTGGAGGTATCCAAATGAGTCCAGAACCATGGAAAATGAAGCAGAATCAGGTGCTGAGGAGTTGTGAGCACAAGGGCAAAAGAGCGAAAATATAAACTCACCTAGCTTCACAAGGTGTCAACTGTTTTTTAAACAGCTTTAAGGGGCATATTCATGGAGTATGGGGGTATCCGAACAAGCCTGGGACCACAGAAAATGGACCAGATTGAGGTACTAAGGAGTTATGAGCATGAGGGCAAAAGAGCAAAAATACAAACTTACCTAGCTCCATGAGACCTTAACCATTTTATAAGCAGTTTTGGGGAGCATCTTCACGGAGTGTGGGGCTATGTGAACGAGCCCTTGACCACAGAGAATGGAGCAGATTGAGGTCCTGGGGAGTTGTAAGCATAAGGGCAAAAGAACGAAAATGCAAACTGACCTAGCTCCACGAGACCTTGACCGTTTCGTAAATGGTTTTGGGGAGCGTCTTCACAGAGCGTGGGGCTATCCGAACGAGCCCTCGACCACAGAAAACGAAGCAGATTGAGGTCCTGGGCAGTTGTGAGCATAAGGGCAAAAGAACGAAAATGCAAACTCACCTAGCTCCATGAGACCTTGACCGTTTCGTAAATGGTTTTAAGGAGTGTCTTCACGGAGTGTGGGGGTATCCGAACGAGCCCTCGACCACAGGAAACGGAGCAGATTGAGGTCCTGGGGAGTTGTGAGCACAGGGCAAAAGAGCGAAAATGGAAACTGACCTAGCTCTACGAGACCTCGGCCGTTTCGTAAACGGTTTTGGGGAACGTCTTCACGGAGCGTGGGGCTATCCGAACGAGCCTTCGACAACAGGAAACGGAGCAGATTAAGGTCCTGGGGAGTTGTGAGCATAAGGGCAAAAGAGCGAAAATGGAAACTGACCTAGCTCCACGAGACCTCAACCGTTTCGTAAACGGTTTTGGGGAGCGTCTTCACAGAGTGTGGGACTATCTGAACGAGTTCAAGATCATGAAAATCGAAGGGGTATTGACAGAGAACTTTCATTGTGTTTGGACTAGCCAAGACAGCAATGTACCATTCCACCAATAAACTGAATTACACACAGCCACATGAGCAGGTTAGAAAAATGATGACACACAAACATTTCCTGATCATTTGATGGGGGAAAGTTTCGTGCGTCATAGGAATCTGTGATGTGTCAAAAGAATAAGATCCGATAACTGAGATCTAAAACTTTAATCTATGTGTTCTGATCTGTTTTGATGGTATCACCATATATAGACCACTGCCTGATTACACGTTCTTTGAGTTTATGAAGAGACTCGCTTTGACGTGGCACTTGAATTGTTTGGACTGGCCAAGACAACAATGAGCATGCAAAGAAAACAGACAAGATGTGGTAGATAGATACATTGCACAAATCATTTGGACTGGCCAAGACGACTAGTGATGAGCAGGGGTAACCCTGGGGTCAACTCAGGCTGACCCTGACCCTTACCCTCCAAAACCCTTGACCCTTGGCTGGGGTCAAGGGTTTTGAAGCGTAAGGGTAAGGGTATCTCAGGGGTTGGAGGGTAAGAAACCCCAGCAGGGTTTGGACAAGGGTTTGGAGCAAATAATTGCTCAAGCTTTATAGATAGTAAATAAATAGCAAGATGCCTTTGAAATACACATTATTCATGTATATTTACAACAGTACACATGGTTTTTAGTAAATTATTAATGAAATATGAGGAATTCAGTGTATTCTGAACAATACTAAGTGTTGCAAAGGTAGTGAGGCCTCTTTGGATGATATTTTATCTGATTTGATGTGATTTAAAATCATTTTATCTGGAGTACTTACCTTGATATTAGAGAAATGAAACCCCTAAAAAACCCCTGAAAAACCCCTGACCCTTTGGAAGGGTCAAGGGTTTGTTGAGGGTCACAAAATCCTTACCCTGACCCTTACCCTCCTGACCCTTACCCCTGACCCTTGGAGGGTTTACAAACCCTTGCACATCACTAAAGACGACAAAGAGTGCAAGACAGCAAAGTGCACAGCAGACCACCTGCTTTGGATGTGGCATTATGTGTGTTGCATTTGGATTGACCAAGATGATGACAATGCTAATGTGGCATCACAGAATGCTCTGTGTTGTGTTTGGATTAACCAAGACTATGACAACACTATGGATGTGGCATCACAGAATGCTCTGTGTCATGTTTGGATTGACCAAGATGATGACAACAGAGCTTGTACTTAGCAAGCAGAAGTTGACATTGAGTTTTCAGAAGTCTCCGAAAATGACGTACTTCCCTTGCAGGCTACCTTTGATTTTGAAGGTAGCCCACAACAGAAGTACGTCATTTTCGGATATTTCCAAATTGTCACGTTTCCTGTGACCTCTTCTGCAAAGACTCTCCCTTCTACTTTTGCCATCCGCTTGTCGTCGTCTTGGCCAGTCCAAATGCTTTGAGTGTGTTGTTACAAGTTCTCTGAGTTTACAAAGAGAATGCATATTAGGTTTGGGCTAGCCAAGACCATGCTGAGGCCAACAGTCAATAACAGGACACATATTCTCTCTAAAGAATACACATTCTAGTTCATTGGGTTTGGACTGGCCAAGGCTACAATGAAGGCAACAGTTAACAGGACACGTATACAGGTGCAACTTGATAAACACTATTTGCAGTGGATTGGATAAGGTTGTATGGTGAGGATACATGTTGTGAATGTGAAAGTTACATATGTGTGTTGTATATGAAACTGTTTGTATTTGTTTTAAACCATGTGATATCATGTGGGTTCAACTTCAGCATACAGAAACCAAAGTTTGCTGATAGGCTACAAAATTTAATTTCAGATTATTTATCTGTATTTACCTATAGCTATTCTCATTTCACAATAATCCTAGAAATAAGGAGTGCATACTGCAAAAAATACTGTGTCATTTGGACCAGAATTGGTAGAGCTACATAGAAATCTTCATTTTCGCAAAAATGATGACTAATCAAGTTACTTTCCTAAGTATTGGAAATAGCCGAAAATGACGTACTTCCCTTGTGGGCTACCTTCAAAATCAAAGGTAGCCCGCAAGGGAAGTATGTCATTTTCGGAGATTTCCGATGCTTACAAATCCAGCCTATACACATTATATTAGCTGTAAAGGGCTTGCTGCTTGCGACGATGAGCTTAGGGTGTTGCTCACTGTTGGTGGTGATGTCGGAGGTGGCTTTCAGGGTCCAGGGCACATTTCTAAATAAGGAAATGTGCACTTTTTCAGATGTAAAATAGCAATAAAATAGCAGAAAAACCAGAAAATCAGAAAAAATTGGGGGGTGGTGCTTACTGTTGGTAATGATGTTGGAGGTTGTTTTCAGGGTCCAGGGCACATTTCCAAATATGGTAATATAGCCAAAAATAGCCAGAAAATCAGAAAAAAATGGAGGATAGTGGTGATACCCTTGGGTAATCTTGTCAGGGTCCAGAGTCTTGTTCCAAATTAAGTAATATAGACCTAAAAATAGCCAGAAAATGGCTAGAAAATCAGAAAAAATGGGGGATGGTGCCCATTGCAGTGATAACATTGGTTAATGTTGTCAGGTCCAGGTCCAGTTCTGAATAT